AATACAACCAGTGAAGGTTTTGAAACTACTTTGATATTTCCTGTTGGTTTTAATAGATACTTTAGATCTATTTATCAGAATTAGTAAAGACAACTTGTTTGTCTTAATATTACAGACATTATAAGTTGTCTAAAATATGTCACTTTGTGTATTTACTCACAAGGAGCTGTAAGGTCAACATTTAACCTTTTTATCGAAAGATCTCCTTCTGTAAGTAAACTCAGTGTGTGTGTATCACTGTTCCGTACATTCGATCAATACTCAATTTTCACCAATTGTGTAATCAGAACTGTCTTAATCTTAGGTGGATTTTTATGTTTGCCTCTAGAAGATTTTACTCACCCAAGCGGAAATTTGCAGAAGGGAAAGGATCAAAAAGTTCAAATAAAATTGTTTGTTAATTAATTTAAGAAATATAATAGAAATAAAACCTGCTTACCGTGAATATGTATTATGCAGCAAACGTCTTTTACTAGGCATCAAATGGTGCTGTTAATACAAAAATAGCTATTGTGTTTTTATAGATATGATAGTTTTAAGAGTGTTTCAGCCATGTTCGGCTATCTTTATCATAACGATATTTCACCTCTGTTGTCTAATAAGTCTTGCCTTTCTAAAAATAGAGAATTAATCAATCTAATGCACACATTAGTGGAAATTTAATCACACACATACGCGAGAAAGTAGTATAATAGACACGTTATAATGATTAACGCAAAACTGGTTAAGTTATTTCATCAGTATTTGTTGTGTAAACATTTTACATGAATTATTGGGACAAATATAAACTCGAGGCTGGCATTAATGAAACATTTACTTTTATTTACAAAAATATAAAAACTGAATTTACAAAATTGAGGCTAGAAAGCAGAAGTCCAAATTTTTCACTTTATATAAGAACTATCTGGTTTTGGCCACAGTTCATGTCTGTGATGAGTGAGTTAGGTATCTCTTAGTTCACAATTTAAGAAGACAAGATCACTCGGATAAATCTCTAATAAATTGATAGATCTGAATAAGGAGCTGCTATTCTGTGATGTCATTGGTTAGTTCCAAAAAATGTAATAATTAGTAAGTTGAAGTTTAATAAAAAAGCATTTTAAACTAGATAATTCGTTGTACTTCTTTAAAGACTGATAGTAGCAATGTACACAAAAGCCTATTTATCATTATTGTTTATATAATACATTACAAATATTGTTGCTTAGATTTTTAGTTATTTTTTTATTTGAATAAAAAATCTATACATTAGTTGTTACTGAAATGTCAACTAATTACAACAGATAAAACAGATAAGGCGGAACCATCAAAATTGGCGTAAGTTAGTCACAGATCGTGTTTAACCAAACATTTTGAATACTTATCGGAGAAAAATTCAGTAAGTTTCTCAGTTTGTTAAATAATAAATATCCACACAATACTAATACTCCTTCTACAGCTCGTAATGTCAACATTCTGAAAGGATCGGATGCTGAAAACTAGACAGTGATAAAACCAAATTTTGAGCAGCTGGTCTTAATCTTTGAAGCTGTTTTTAATAACGATATTAATTTACGTTTTACATCATTTAGGTTCAGCCCATATTGTTGTTTTTCTTCTTATCTCCCTTTTGTCGGTATTGTTACTGATTTCTGGCAGTAAACTGTGTTTATAACATATTACAAGTACCATTTAAGATTTGCTAATTAGAAGCTGCTTCACCTTTTCTTATGACCAAATATTGTAAGGAAGTAATTTGGAAGTTTGGTAGCATAAGTAACCAGTAAGGTTTTAAAGAGTACTGAGAATTCTTTGTCATTTTTGTTGTTGTTGTTGTTAAGCTCAAAGCTATACAATGGACTATCTGTTCTTTGCTAACAGCGAGTATAAAAACACTCGTAACGATGCAGATCTCTTTCATCTGGTATTTGAATATAAACAAGATCTAAAGATTGTCTTTATCGTTGTCATGAAAACTTATTTTTTTATTTAACTTTTTTCCACTTTCCATATATGAGTAGTTCAAACTGATTATCATAGAAAGACGTAAAACACGAGCTTCTTAATAAGCTTAGCGTCTCCATGGCTCATATCTACTAGCTTTTGCTTTTACCCCACAAACTTAACTATCAGAAAATGTGCCAAACACAGTAAAATGATTGCGTCAGATTTCTATGTATTAACAACCGTAACAAACTTTTGAAAAAGCACAAAGTTGTTTTGCAGTTCGATAGATTAAATCAGCAATTTTTTTATCGCGAAACTATCTTCCGTCAACAATTTTGTAAATCAATTTTAACATAGAAAATAAATATCCCTAATTACTGATATTTTTCTAGTACACATATCCAAGCTCCACTGCCAAACATGCAATACATATTCCTACATTTTGAATTAGATATTTAATGTTCAGTTCCTTGTTTATATTTCAGTTTTTGATTGGATAAGGAACATACAACTGGAGCTCTAGATAGCCAAAAGTGACGACCATAAACCTTTTTTCTTTTTTAGGTACAGTTAAATTTTCACAACTATAATATTTGGTCTAAACGAAATATGAGGCCGGGCATGGCCAGGTGGTTATAGCGCGCGACTCGCAATCTATTGGTCGCGGGTTCGAATCCTCTTCACATCGAACATGCTCACCCTTTCAGTCGTGGGAACGTTATTATGTGACGGTCAATCCCACTATTTGTTGGTAAAAGAGTAGCCCAAAAGTTGGTGGTGGGTGGTGATGGCCTTCCTTCTAGTCTTACAGTGCTAAATTAAGAACGAATAGCGCAGATAGCCATCGTGTAGCTTTGCGCGAAATTCATAACAAACAAACTAAACGAAATATGACATTTAAAAAAACTAAATATGGATTCTAATTTGTTTTAGAAGCAAATGAAATATATTTCCATTAAAATGTCTCTTATTTTTTAATGTATATTATCAACATAAGAATTCAAAGATTTGTTTTTTCTAATTACAAACCATCTTATATCATTGAAGTCAAACCTCGACACTAAAACCGTAAAATGTGCACGTATTTTAAAGAAAAATATTTCTCTTTCTCTTCTATAAACATATGGCTATATGACTGTTAAATTGAAATTATTCTTGGAATTTTTATATCCTCAAAAATGCGGTAGAAACATATTATTGTAGTATTTAAAAATTGTCCATGTGTCTCTGCTTAATTTAAAAACTTCCTCTATCTTAAGCTAAGTATTCTTGGGTCGAATTTATATTGCCTTGGAATTGGTCCAATTTCGGAACAATTGTAAGAAACAATGCCTTAGGATGATAGAGAAAACTCGTTACGAAAGAAATAGCAAATGTATTTAATGTTCACCAACCAAAGTCTATAAATACATATTTAAATTAACTGGATCATGCGCTATGAATAACGAATTTAGAAAGAAAAGTCATCTATAGAAATGAAATGTATGGGAAGATTCTACTGCATAAAAATCATTATTGGACTTTATTCAGTAATGTCTTCGTACTGCTAGCTTTCTGTAATATTGCAGTATCTATTGTTAGAAGAAAAGAAAGGAAGATAATAAGAAACAAACAGAATATGTATCATGAAAACTAGCTTTTAAGATGACAAATCGGTCCGTTGTGAGCATCCAATATTACCGTTATACAAACAAAAGCTTAAAATTTAGAAAAATCAAATTTAGATTAGGCCCATTCATTAACAGTAGAAAGTTTGATGCTCTTTATTTTTCATTTCATTTTAAATGAAAGCAAATTAAAAAGATTCGTTGATTTTCTTGTTCTTTTGTTAACTTTATTGGACTAATTAAAGTATAAGATGCAATAAAACGTTTAATGAAACTTGTACGCTAGAAAACTCTTTTATTCGAGAAAAATCACTAAAAGAATATTCTTGTTACTTAGAAGGACTCTACATTCAACTCCTAAACGAAATAACAAATTAGAAATTAAAGTGGCGAAAGGAATTCCTTTAAGTTATTTAAACGACAAAACGTTTTATATGCATATTCAGAAAAAAGTGTTTAATAGAAAGTTAATATCAATTAACAAAGCATTTCTTTACATTATTTCTTTAAGTGATCTGTGTTGTTCAGAAAGATTTTAACGACTTTTAAAGCTCATTCCATCTATATAAAATTGTCTACAATTAAGGTGAAGAGCTTATTTTTGAAATATGTGTTTAATGATAATTATTGCCTTTCCAATGTAAAGCTGGCTGAGCATTAAGCTTTATAAACTGAGAAAGATGACAAGTTATCAAAAATTTAATCATAATGTTCATAACTTTAAACACTTTATCCTAGCTTGTTCCACAAGACTTTTTAATTAGAGAAGCACATTCAGAGCATTTCATCAGAAGTTTGTGGTAGGCATTTTATACGTCGAGGCATTTCGTGTAATACCAAAGATAGAGACCGACTTTTCCATAACATTGTACATTATATGATTTGAACCAATTTCTAAGTTCAAAATAAAATTTTATTTTTTACAGCAAAGCACGAAGCTTGTTGTACAAGAAGAATAAAAATTCTAATAACTTAAATATAAGTTGTTGTTTTAAATTTAAAACATGGTAAACCAGAAGATATACTCAATAACTCTTTTCTTATCTCATAAAGGTTCGACGTTGTAAATTTTGTCAGGTTCTCAATCTTTTAATTCACCAAAGCTTCGCTACGATGAAATGTAAAAATCAAAAGTAGAATTGTCGCAGAACAGCAATTGACACATTCCTTTTCTCGAAAACAGATTTTCAATAAAAAGCTTTAAAATATATGCAGTTCTTAAATTCAAGTTGATTTCAAACCGCCAACCAAGAAAGACATTTCTTGCAATCTTACGAATCGAATTACAGACCTTCTTTAACAGAAAGTAATCGCGAAATGTCCACACGGCCAGTGCATTCTCTTTGATTTTTTTAAGATTTTATCAAGTTGTCTGGGAAAGAAAGTTAGATAAGGTGTGTTGATTCTTACGTATTCTAAGGTTTCTCCTCCAACAAGTAATCCAATTCTGTCTGTGTTCTATTTCAGGTAGTGAATTTGATGACCTTGATGGCCACTCTGCGCGCTACACTCCAGAAGCTCTTGATACACTGTGCCAGATAACCAAGTTTAACAGACGCGAACTTCAGTTAATGTATAGAGGTTTTAAACAGGTTAGTGACAATAAAAGTTTTCAGTATTGACTTCGCTCAAGTCTACTTAATATGGTATGTTTTCAAGCACTTGTGCTTTTAATGAACATTCAAATTAAACAAATAAAATGGTTCTAAGATAGTTTAGATTTAGTAGTTAACTGTTACAAAATGTAATAAACAAAGAGAAGGGCAGGTATTTAAGCATAAATTAGAAATTAGGTTCATATTGTTTCAAATGTTTTATTAAGCAAAACAAAATACGTCAATTATTGCTGATAGACAATGAATGATTAACATTTCTTTATGAGTAGGGCATAATCTAATCATTAGTTTGTGCGAACCCTGAATCCAGGGGTTCATGGGTCACGGCTGTTGCCGAAAAAAACACTCTTCACTTTGAGGGTGGTGGTCGATTCCAACTATACGTTCAGAAAAAGAGTAATCTAAGAGCTGGCAGTGGGTGCTGTTGACTACCCTTCTTTCATCTAGTCTATTAGGTCAAAATTATGAACGGTTATGCGCGAAAGTTCTAAAAACAAACAAGTATAAACAAAACTGAAAGGTTACCAATCACTGTTAGTTCACAAAACTCGGAGAAATCACTTTATCTAAATCAGGCTTACTAATTATGAAATAATCTAAATGGAATTGAGCTTCACATCCTAAAAATAGAAAGGTCTGGACCACGAAGTAGTTCCCACTAAGCTTTTAGAACAGCATTAAACAGATTACCAGTGAAATTAATAAACTTGTAGAAAATATTAATGCATAACAATAGGCCAGAAATAAGTCAAACACATCTTCCGATCTTTACCACAAGTCCTTGTTTGACAATATTATTTTAGGTAAAACAATAGATACACTGAAAGTTATGTTTGTTTGTCCAATTCTGCCACTTCTCTTAACACTAACTGCTTTTCTTAGATATGGTATCTCCTCCAGTATTCAAAAACTTGAAGAACAAAACCTAAAAACTTTAATGACAAAACCCCACGTGATGATTAGATACTTAAATATTGATTATTCATATAAACATAACTTAGCAACTTACCGCTGATTCGTAGTTATATTGCTACTACTTAGAAGCAGACAAAATCGGTATAATTCTAAGAGAAAAGAAGCCAACTATGGATTTTGGCAGTTATTGTCCCATTTGCTTCACTAGAAGACATCGAGATTGTACTGAAACAAAGTGTTCTTTCATTGTTGTTTCTCTGGCCTTCTTCGAAATCTACAGTCAATGTTAATGCATACGACCTTTGTTTTAAGCTTGGTGGTAGTAGTATGCATATATATATTTCAATGATATAGATTAAAACTTGCTAGTAATACCCTTCCTTATAAATTTGGGGCCGAGTGTCAGCTAGTGTTTAACGTGCTCAAACTGTGAATCCGAGATTTCACGGTTTTCATTTCGTTGCCCCCAAAACGCGCTACGCACATTGGCGCTGTGAGTTTGAGATACGAGTAACGGCCAAATCCCACTATAAGGGCAGACAAAAGTATCCCAGGATCTTGTGGTTGGAGCTGTTGACTAGTTGTCTTCCTTCTAGTCTATCAGTTTAAGATTGGGAACGGTTATACGCAGATAGCCCTTTAGCAGCGTTACACAAAAATTCCGAAACAAGCAAATAAACATTATTAATTTGCGAAAAAATATTCAAATATTAGAACTGTAACAGCAAACACAATTGGACTTTCAAAACTTTTAACGTATTCACATAAAACACTGGGGAATTGGTGGAATCAGTGACTAATTTCATCTAATCAAACTGATAGCAAGCATTTCATTACTAAAAATCATTAATTAAACAAACAAATAATATTGATGTTATTTGCAATAAAGTTTCAATAAATATTTGTTTTTAAAACGTACGTAATCGAAACTGGTGCTCACATCACATTGTTGTTTAAAACGTATAGTAATCGAAACTGGTGCTCACATCACATTGTTGTTTAAAACGTATATAATCGAAACTGGTGCTCACATCACATCCAAAATTGTTATCGCTTTCTATTCCTTTTATTTGGGTGCTTTTTAAGTACATTTTCCCGCTTGGATTATTAGAAAACCTTGCATCTTTTAAAACACGGAAAATAAACTATGGAAAACCTTTTATCCTGTACTCGGACATCGGGCTTATAACTATTTAATGTTCTTATTAATCATTGTGTTTCTTCACCTTCTGTATAAAAAAGAAACTTGTCAGTTTAGCTGAAAGGAAAACTCCTAGAAAATTTAGCTAAAGTAACCTAAGTTAGGTTTATGTTTCACCTTCAAATTCCTTATACTGTTTAACTGAAAAACTTTGATTTTGCTTTAAGTGAAAATATACTCCTCGGCGTTTATTTATTTTCAACCTGGAAAAATTCACTTTGCTTCGCCGGCAGAAGTTAAAGAAATAAGTTCATGCGTAACATTAACTTTGAATGTTCTAAACTTTACGTATGTCAGTAGTTGTATTAACAAGCGAATCACTCACGTAATAGTTTCATATCGTGCTCTTCAGTAAAAGTAATTTTTCACAATTAGTGGAATGTGATTATATAATTTACTTGGATACCTTCCGTTCTTCAGGGAAAGCGAATACATACAGTCGAATAGTCTTGATTAGGCAGTCGGTTTATACACCTCATGCTCTGCTTCCTACTATACATCCCACTTTATGAAAGAAAAAATTCTACTTTAAGAACTGTGCAAAAATTTAGTCGTTTGTTTTATTGAATTTTGCGCAAAACTACACGCGGACGCTAGCCATGTCTAATGCTGAAACGATAGGCTAGGTAGCTAGTTGACTCCACCCACCACCAACTCTTGGGATACTCTTGTCCTAAACAATAGAAGCATTTGACCGAAATTCTTATAACGCATTTATTGCCTCATTGTGCGGAGCGCGATTTTTTTCGTAGTAGCATGACCCTCATATCCAGGTTCCAGTACTCTAGCCACTCTCAGCCTTTCACAAATGTTGTGTTTCTTTATATAATATAATTAGTTACCCATAGCATTGAAAGCTTAATTCATTTACTATAGTTTTATAGCCATAGGATCAAGTATTTAATCTAATTTATACATATATATACTTCTATAGATCTCCCAGAGGATCGGTGGTAAGTTATTCTGGCAACCAGATAAATAAACTTTTATCTGATCAAGATGGCTTTTAAAAAGCTGTCTTGGTTAAAGGTAAATAACATAGTAAATTTTTACATACATGATTCTGCATATATAGTTTACTGGTGGTACCTAAATAATAATAGGCGTTTCTTCCAGTCGTCAGCAAAAATATTTGTTCTCTCTCTTTTGAACCCCCCAGTGACTTGGCGACAAGCCAGCAGGAGTTATAAAATGCAAAAATAGGGTTTCGATACCCGTGGTGAGCACAGCACAGATAGCGTATTTTGTAGCTTTGCGCTTAACAACAAATGCAATTCTCTTCGAATCTTATCATCATCAATTACACATGGTGTAACAGCCGTTGTGCGTAACGTCGTATTTGTTTATAACGCTAAATGTTAGAAGCTTGACGAACCAGCCTGACTGAGCCTTGTAACCTTGGCCAGCTTCGAGCACTATCTGTTAAACAGAATAAAAACAAACATTGACGATGAATATAAATACATGTTATATTTTCTAAATATATACATTATATTTTCCAATAAATAACTATAACAAGACCCAGTAACGTAATTTTGTTTTACAAAACTAGTGGTGAAAAATTGTATAGACGAAACTTAAATAATGATAATAGTAATGCAGTCAGTCTTAGGTGAAAAATGTCGATATTTCAGAAGATGAAACACTTTCCAGTTTTATGGATTTTAAAATATATTTTACTAATGTATCTCAGCTCATTTTATGTTTATCTAATTATTACATTTTGATGACTACTGTATTTGATTGAAAAGTGCAACTTTGTTTGTTTGAATTTCGCGCAAAGCTACACGAGGGGTATCTGTGCTAGCCGTCCCTAATTTAGCAGTGTAAGACTAGAGAGAAGGCAGCTAGTCATCACCACCCACCGCCAACTCTTGGGCTACTCTTTTACCAACGAATAGTGGGATTGACCGTCACATTATAACGCCCCAACGGCTGAAAGGACAAGCATGTTTGGTGTGACGGGGATTCGAACCCGTGACCCTCAGATTGCGAGTCGAGCGCCCTAACCACCTGGCCAGAAGTGCAAGTTTTGATGATATATTCCAAAAATACTTGTACATCCTGCATCTCTCAAATATTCATATAAACTAGTTTTTGTTTATCTCTATAAATATATGTACTGCACGTTTTCTATCGGGACGTGCTGATAATGTGACTGGCTTTGATGAAATTATTTGAGGATTAACAGATAACTTAAAAATTGATATATTCTACATTCAGTTATACAGAAGTCACTCATAATTCTAATACAGTTCTTTCCTGAAGTTTGAGCTTTAAAAGACTGAAAACATAAGTAATATATTCGATGACGAGGAACCCACTTTGAGACTAATAATGGTTGGAGACAAAGTTCCCAGAGTGCTATCTGTGCTAGCCGTCCCTAATTTAGCAGTGATAAACTAGAGGTAAGACAGTTAGTCAACATCACCCACCGCTAACTCTTGGGCTACTTTATTACCAACTAATAATGGGATTGATCGTCACATTATAACGCCTCAAAGAGTGAGCATGTTCGGTGACAGGGATTCGAAGCTGCGACTCGCAGATTGTGAATCGAACGCCAAATTATTTCGGGTTTCTTTACGTCTTTGAAGCCAATACTAAAATATTTCAAAAACTGTAACAAATATAAATTCTGAAGTTGCAAAATAGATTAAGACTTCCGAATTTATATTTGTATTTTTCCTATTGAGATGGCAAATAACTTCTTGCTTTGTTGAGAGTTGTTTAAAGATTTGTTTAATAACAAGTAAAAGCTGCAATGGTCTATTCTTTAATTGGGGAGGGTGTCTTTGGGCCAGGCTAGTTTCGGATAATTCTACTCCTCGTCAGTGACGCTGGACATGACCATACTTTATAGTAGTGAAGGCTTGGAAAATCGAAATGGTGTATTTAAGTGTTTTACACT